ACCTTACTTCTTATTGTGAAATAGATCAATCATGTTAAAAACTCATTAATCCACCCTGCGTTGAAGATCTGCATGTGCCTGAGTTCTCCCTCAAAATGCTTGTATAGACGGAGTGTACATCAAAACTTAATCTGAATTCTGCTTATTACCATCCCTTGATGAAATTGATGCCAAGGTTGCATTAGAAAATCTGTCTTTTACCTTTTTTTATTTCAAGTATGTTGATTTCTCTATTTTCTGTTCCATTTCATATTCGTTTTTAACGCAGCCTTAGCGACCCACCGTCTTTTCACTTCTTTAGTGATGCATAGGCCGTCGGTATCTTGCATACCTTCGCTTTAGGAAATTTATTATCGATTTCCTGAATTCTTAATTTCTGTTCATTTCTTTCAGCATGTCCTTTAATGTTCCAATACTCTTCATTGTTATGTCCATCCTAAGTATTTAATGGATGAGTTCATCGCTCAGTATGTATTCCATTTTGTGCTTTATTGTCTGCCACCATTAGTCTCGCTTCCCCATTATCTACCTTTAATCTTTATTTTGTATTGCCCTGCCTATCTTCGTTAGTCTGTTTTTGGTTTACATACCCTTAATGCGCAAAGATTCGATAGCTAAATTTCATCCCCATTTTCAGAATAAAATTTTTTATTGGATTGCTAACTTAAGGAATGATAGCATAACGTGTCAAAGATCAAATGGCATTAATGAATTATGACTATCTTTATAAAGAGGTTGTTTGACCTCGTTTTCTCAACTTGGTCATGTTATCGGGGCCACCTAGCTGGACGCTTCTTGTTTGAACTCTTCTGCTCTTGTAGGTATGTTGATTACCTGGCTTGACCATGGGGTAGGTACATTCCCTTTCTTGTTTACGTTGCCCCTCCCCCTCTATCTGGATTTTCCGGAATTGCTGATCCGACTCTTGCCTCTTATTCGAATCCCTCATGGGCTTTAAAATTCCTTTTTATCCTACTGGTTGACCGCTTTAACTACGTCTCATTTCTCAAAATAACATTCGAAAATTAAGGGCTTACGAATTTAAAATTGACTATATTATAAACAGAAGCTGGGTTTAGAACGGCCCCTATATATTGGTTTACCTGTTAATTTTAAGAGATCGGTGGAAGGGACTTGTAGACTGGCTCCACTGGAAACGCAATAAGGATGGAGGGCTTTGATGTTTTCATTGTGTTATTTAGCAATTTGGCTGAATAGAAAACTGGAGATAAACCTCCTATCATCAACATAGGTACTGTATATACCGCCAACTATCTAACCCGCTGGTACTGGATTATGTAGCATTCAGTGAAACGTCAGACCATAAAAGTATTATTACTACCTTCAAATTTTTATATCATTTTGGTCACTGCCACTTAGCTCACATAATTGTTTTTACGCATGCGTCCTTTCGATTCCCTTTTCAACTCAAGGTGAGGTGATTTACTGTCTATGTACATGGTTGTCTAAAAATAAAACTAAAAGTGTATTCTTCTAGAGCTTAGATAAGTCGAACTTTGTGAGTTTTTAGAATGATTGGGTCTCTGGTAAACAAAGCTTATTTAAATGACAAAGCAAGCTGGAACGAACAGGCATTAGCGCCCTACTGGAAATCACGCCTTGGTATCTATTTTATTCAAGGTCTTAGAAGACGAGGAGTTACGGACCCTCGGGTAGCATATAAATCCAAAATAAGAGAGGCAGGTCTGTTGCCAGAATGGAGTCAGAATCATTTTCATTAAATACGCTCAAGAAGAATTTGGCCGATATTATTCTATTAACAAACCTAATTTACTCCGTTGAAATAGAGTTACATAAAATTTGATTCGACTCTTCACGTTAGGGCTCAAAGAAAGTAGGATTTTGTACTACGTTCTATTACTCTGAGGTGGGATTTACTCTTGAAATTCGCATCTGTCCTGTCACCCAAGGACACTCGTAGCGATTTGGCGTAGTGGTTAACGTGTCGAGATTATGCGTTGCGTTGCCATGGTTCGAGTCCTGTGGGTGTTTATAAGACCTAGGCGAGGTTCTGAATGAGAACATCTCTTGTGAAAGCAAGGTTATGTGAAATTCAATGGGAACGTTAGTTCTATTCATATCATTGTGGAAAAATTCAACCACCAGTCCTTCACCTTAAACCAAATAAGTTGAACACAGCTCATATATCTGATTTTTATGTAGTAACCAAGTCCCACTCGAGACGAAAAATACTTTTATTTAGATGTGCTTTTTTATTATTCCTCAAAATTGCCATAAATATGCATAATACGCACCAACAGCTGAACTTTAGGAATTTTCACTCTGCCGATTTGATACATATAAGCTCCATTAGTGGCAGTGGAGTTATCCCCTTGTATTTTAATAGTTCTCAAAAATGAAGATAGGAGAAACTCCACTAGTAATAGACCTTTGATAAATTTATGCAGTCAAGTTTATTCTTTGGATTATGATTAAATTTCCTCTATGCCGCCAGATGTTGAGCAACGTTTTGTAAATTTTTCCTACCAATACAGACAATTTATCCAACTTGGACCCACCCACGAATAGTTATGCATCATCAGATTTACCGGTACCTGTAAGCATTCCGAATGACGCTCCTTCGCCACTTACTTGCATATCTTCTGCCGAGCCTGGCTTGATTATCTTCCTTCCACAGCAGATCACATTGCCCTGTGGTGGCTTGCCCAAATTAGACTTTGGCACTTATTGCAGCCTTTTTGACCGCGACTCTTCCCTTGATTACAATTGCTTCGAACAACTTCTCAGCCGTTCGCGCACAAGGCCTCCATTGCCTTTGTCATCTACACCATTGGCATCCTCTTTTTGTGCCCCAACCAGCCGACCTCTGGCTCTCTTGCATCAGCTACTCGTTACTGCAACAGCCTTCCACTACACTCCGCCTCCCGCCTCGATCAATGACAGGAAATCATTCCCATCTTTGTCAAATTCATCCATTGGCAATGTTGGGATGAAATGGGTTAATGACTTGAAACGTAGACGAATGGCTGCATCCTCTTTTCGAGGCTTCAGATCTATAACCCAGGGCGACGTGGAACTGGCTGAAGAAAGGAGTTTAGAGATTATGCAAGAGGAGGGAGATGATGCAGCTATAAGTGGCCATAGCAATTATTTGGTCAGACCCCAATGTACCTATGCTACCGCTGATGTAATATTTGCTTCCTCTAAAAGTAAGTGATATTTCGTTAGTTTTATATCCTTTAACGGTGTTTTGCGCATTATACTTGACTTATATATATATATATAATACTATATATAATTATGAGCTATGTTTAATAATCCTTTAATAACTTCACTTTACTGGACCTTTCGTTTCGCATAAAAGTCTCACTAAAAAGGCCTTGTTATTGGCTTCATCTTTACAGTTGTAGCTACTGATTTGTAGGGAAAAGTCTTCCGTACATCGTTCTGCGAGTCGTATTCTTTCTTATTAAGCCTTACTATGCCAATTTGCAGACATCATTAGTGCCTTTGTCAAAATTCAACAAATAATAGGCTAAAAATTGTAGTGGATTTTAATCCTTCCAATTAAATCAATTAAATCGAAGGCATTATTAATAAGGCAAGTCTTTAATCCCCTCTTTATTTCTACTCTATTTGATATATCAGTATATATAATCATGCGGGCTATTCTGAGCGAACTGGATAAAACTCATTATTTCTAATTTGACTACGATCCTGATCTCTTCCTTCCCTTATTCCTCTTTATTCTTCAGCTTCTCGACTTTCAAATATTTTTCATTCTATATCAACCCTATTCTGCGGTCCTCATGAATCACGCCCTCCTCTGTGGCCAGCTACATCTATGCTTAGAGCTACCCAACTCCTTGTTGAATTTCGACTGATATCTTATGCTGAATCTATAGACCTCGAAAAACAGCCTCTGCCTCGTGCTATTTTTTATCCATTTACAGCGGTGTAAGTTTTCAGCCCTTCTATAAAATATCATTTTTTCACTCACTTTTCATACTTCGCGAATGACTGGAAGCCTTTGGTTTACATTACATTTTTTGCTTTAAGGCAAAAAATATGGCACTTAATTGTGACCCTTTGAGGGATAATTATGGTAAATACTAAGAGTAACTGGGTTTCGAAGAATCTCCTGAGATAACATTTAGGGAGACTTTCATTTCGTATAAAAGTGCATGGAAAAGAGATTCGAAGTTCAATTTCACCAGAAGATGACGGCTGATTCCCGTTGTACTGCCGTCATTTGGCTTCAGTACGGCGTTCATGTTGACGCAGTCCACGAGACGTCCTTCAAAGTCTCAGGCGAAGACGAGCTGAGCTTTCATTTCTCATATGTCAAGCATCATCATAGCTGGGACTCATTCTTGTAAAAGCCTCAAGCTAACACTAAGTCAAGAAGACTGACTGGCTTTTTTCTACATTGTATATATATTTTAGATATAGATTGATGTAGAAAAGTTTGGTTAGTATACTTTCATGTGAAATGAAAGTCTTCACAGCAATCCTACATCAGGAGAGTTTACGAAACCCGCATTTTCTTTGTATATACAATTAATAAACAGCCGGATAGTCTTCTTAATCTAGTGTTAGCATGATCTCTGATGTTTATAATATGATGGACTAGAGTTCAGCTCGTTTTCATCCGAAACGAGGGAGGATGTCTCGTCGACTGCGTCAACTTGAACGTCGTTTTAAAGCCAAATGGCTGCAGTAAAGCGGAAATTAGCCCTCCTTTTCTGGTGAGATTGACCTCCAAATCTCTTTATGCACCTTCATACGAAATGAAAGTCTCCCCACCAATAAAAGTAAATCTTAATGTTGCTTGTGTTTTATATAAAGCATCACATGGAAAAGCTATAATGCCTCAATTTTTTATAGCATATTCCTTTTGTTTTTTATGATTTTAAATGCTTTTTTATTTAATTTTACTTTTGGAATCTTTAAATAGCTCGCCACATTTTAATAAGTAAGTAAGAACTTATGATAGTAAAGGGGTGATATGAGGATATAGGATAAGTGAATATCCCGGCACAGAAGGAGAGATACCACAATTTTTTAGCAGATACTTGGTTGAGCGCTTAATTTCATTGTCTCTTTGGTGAGTTTTAGTGTTGTGCTAACAGTGACAAGGCTCAGTGTCGATGCTGGCGAAACGTCTAGGAATGCACCAAATCTACTTTCTGACTCTGGAAATTATTATGCATACAATGAATTCCGGAGAAAGTGCGTTCCTCTAGTTCTCCCTACCAATATAACCAAGTTGCGAAAACAAGGTACAACTATTATACAAAGATTGGAGACCGTGACTATATAAAAGGCCACACTATCTTGGTCTTCATACATTCGTTTAAATAATTTAATTTATATTTCAAAATTTTAGTCATTCTGTCATGTTTTTACGGGAGATTGATAAAGACAAGAGAAAAACTAGTAGTGCTGTATTAGATCCTTAATCATTTTCGAATTATAACGATGTTTTCATCAGATTAGTATCTTAGTTAATAGAGCACACATCTACATAAGTTTTACATAAGTTTTACATAAGTTTTACAGTTATTTCTCTCCGACTTGAATCAACGTAATTTACATCTCAAACCTAGAAATGTAATAAATCACAATTATACTTCACTGATTTAAATAATTTTCAGAGCGGAACAAATGTCACCTGGAGAACGTCAGCGCCTTCTTTTGGCTGCAGTGTGCTTACGGCGTCCAACACTCGTCTTTCTTGACGAAGCGACTAGCCAGTTGAGTGAGGAAGACGAAGCACAAGCTTACTCCAGCCTTGCTAAGTATGGAGTTAGGAGTTTAGTAAGCGTGGGTCACGCCTCG